ACTCGGCCAATCACTAGGAGACGGGGAGTTCTAGTCCCGCCTTAGCCATGAAAGCCAGCTGGGTGACTTTGGGCCAATCATTAGGAGACAGGGAGTTCTAGTCCCGCCTTAGCCATGAAAGCCAACTGGGTGTCTCTGGGCCAATCACTAGGAGGCGGGGAGTTCTAGTCCCGCCTTAGCCATGAAAGCCAGCTGGGTGTCTCTGGGTCAATCACTAGGAGACGGGGAGTTCTAGTCCCGCCTTAGGCATGAAAGCAACTGGGTGCCTCCGGGCCAATCACTAGGAGACGGGGAGTTCTAGTCCCGCCTTAGGCATGAAAGCCAACTGGGTGTCTCTGGGCCAATCACTAGGAGACTGGGAGTTCTAGTCCCGCCTTAGGCATGAAAGCAACTGGGTGCCTCCGGGCCAATCACTAGGAGACAGGGAGTTCTAGTCCCGCCTTAGGCATGAAAGCCAACTGGATGACTCTGGGTCGATCACTAGGAGACTGGGAGTCATAGCCAACTGGGTGACTTCCAACTTATGACCATTCCCACAGCCGCAGTATCAAGACTCTAGTCCCCAATTGTGGCTGTTTGAAAGCAAGCAAACCCCCCCCCCCGCTCCTGCTTTCTGACCCTCAACACAACTTACAAAGCCAAAAACAGGGAGGAGAGAGCGCAGAGGAATCGAATGGCTGCCCTGACAGAGCCTGGCACCTCCCTGGCAGAGGGTTCACCTGCCCCATTCGTCTGTCAACCTTCAGGGCGTGGGTGCACCTTCGGAAGGGCTTCTCCTGAAGGCAGGTGGCTCCTGAGAAGCATCAACCCTCTGAATTATGCCCGCTGGCCATTGGCACCCTGGCCATATCCTTCAGGAAAGCATCATGGGCTCATGGCACCAGCTGTGTGGCAGCTGCATTTGGCCTCTGAACGCAGATTAACAGAGTTCGAAGGGACCTGGGAGGTCATCTAGTCCAACCCCCCTGCCCAAGCAGGGGACCCTACATCATTTCGGACAGGTGGCAGTTGAGTCTCCTCTTGAAAGCCTCCAGGGATGAAGCTCCCACAACTTCCGAAGGCAACTTCTGTTCCAGGGGTGGATTGTCCTCCCTGTCAGAAAGTTTCTCCTTATTTCCAGGATGAAAAATCTCTCCTTGTTCAGTTTCCATCCATTATTCCTTCTCTGGCCTTCGGGGGGGGGCCTTGGAGAATAAATGGACCCCCTCCTCTTTGGGGCAGCCCCTCAAATACTGGAAGATGGCTATCATGTCCCCACTAATTCTTCTTTTCTTTAACTAGCCAAACCCAAATCCTGCAGCCGTTTGTCGTATCTTTTAATTTCCAGGCCTTTCATCGTCTTAGTTGCTCTTCTCTGGGTAGGGTTCAACTCCACAGCTGGGCATGGGGAATTTCACAGCAGTTAGGCATGGCCGTGGCCGTTAAGTGAACCTTGCGCGGTCCCCGCTGTGGTTGTTAAACAAGTCCATTTCCCCCCTCAAGGGGCATCTTTAAATGGAAACCAGAAGGAATTGCTTAGAAACTGGCAAAAAAATAAATAAATAGAAAACCACAGTCACGTGACGTGTGGGAGGCTGTAACTGGGCATACATGACCTTGTGTGCATTTGTGTGTGTGTGTGTGTGTGTGTGTGGGTGGGTGGGTTAAGTGCACAGCTGCCAAAACTTCAAAAACTGGTTGAGTAGCTCCGGGGAGGTCCGTCGTAAATTCGAACAGTTGCTGAGCAATCGGCCGTTCAGCGAGAACCACCTGTATTTGGTTCAGAGCTGTGTGGAATCTGGGTTCCTTTCACAAACACACACACACACACACACACACATGCCCAGAGGGGGTCTTTGGGTCCCTGGTTCTTATTCTTCGAATTTCGACCCATCTGATCCGCTTCCTTATCCATTCCTCCAGCCTCCCTTCCCTGCCCCTTGGAAGCCTCATGAAACAGGAAACCCGGTGCGATATATTTACACAACATCTTGTCAGTTAGCTCAGAGGCGATAATAAGGAGAGATGTTTGGCCAAGGTGGTTGCCATAACCACCCCACAGCATCCACTGAGGTTTCCCCCACCCCCGGGGTTGTTCCCCCGCAGCCCCTCCCTCGCTTAAAGCGGGCCGCCGGGGAAGGGGTGGGGGCTAGGACTGGGACTACAGATCCCAAATTGTGCTCCTGTATGGTTTGTGTGATGATTTTAAAAGCAGAGGGTAAGTCAGCTTGGGAAATGTTGATTAGAATTCAGGGGTTTCCAACCTTGGCAACGTGAAGACTTGTGGACTTCAACTCCCAGAATTCCTCAGCCAGCAAAGTTGAAGTCCACACGCTGGCTGAGGAATTCTGGGAGTTGAAGTCCACAAGTCTTAAAGTTGCCAAGGTTGGAGAACTGCGTTAGACCAAACGTTGTCCCTTAGCCATTTTCCTTAACTACGCAACGATAGTTTCCTCCCAAAAGTAGTTCGGCCCAAGAAAACACAGCATACAAAAAGGTGGCCCTTTTCCACCACTCTCCGCTCCACAAACCTACCAGCTGCATTTCAGCCTCAGGGGATTGTGCAAATGAAACGCCTGTGTTTAGTTTGTGCATCGCGGTGTTGTCCCAAACCAGAAAATCTGGCTAATCCCCGAGACTGTGATTAGGTGAACTGTGGGTAATAAATACGCTTTTGATGCACCTGGCCAATAAATTGCATCTTAAACTGCATGACTCCCACCCGAGCGTTGGGATTCTTAATTGGTTTCACCACGCCAAGAAGAGAAAGCAGTTGTACATCCTTGTTGCTTCCTAAATACTCACCCACTAAAGGCAGCATTACTCAACCTTGGTGACTTTAAGATGGGTGAGCTGGGCAGGAGTTTGGGTATAAAATTTGGTCATGGCTAGTGGGAATGACAGGGTTAAAAATTCACTATATACCAGAGATGTTCCTACTGGGAATAATGGAAGAGAATTTTAGCAAAGTTGATACCTATCTAATTGCTCATGTAATCATGGCAGCAAGAATTATATTCGCCCAAAATTGGAAAGCAAGTGAAATCCCTAAGCTAGGATTGGTAAGATATTACAATGCGCCGAAATGGATAGGTTGACACTACAATTGAAGGGACAAGATAAATCAGAATACTATAAAGGATGGAATAAGTTTTATTATTGGAGGGACATGAAAGGGAGTTCACAAAAATTGAAATAAAGAATTTAAGGTGAAATAGGGAAGAGGTGAGGGACCTCATACCTGAGGATTAAGGAAAAAGAAGAAGAAAAAGAACAAAGCTCAAATGTGTACATGTACATATATGGGTATAAATGTATATAACTTTTGTGTCTGTCTCAATGTAAAAATCATTTGACAGAAATATACGTCAAAGACCACCACAGTATTCAATGTTTTTTTAATGTGTATATTCAATATTTTTTTAAAAAATTAAAAAACGATGGGTGAGCTGGGGAAAAGCTGTCTGGGGAATTCTGGGAGTTGAAGTCCACCCGTCTTCAAAGGTTGAGTAGCGCTGCATTAGTGGGATAAGCTGAGCAAACAATTCAATCTCTATATGATTGTCAGCCAACGTCAGTCACAACCTCACACAATGGGGAAAGGGCCGTTTAAGTTCTCCAGGGCGGCCTGTTAACCTTGATGTGGCCGTTTTCGGGAAAAGGCATCAGAACAAACTATGACCTGATCCAACCCTAGGATAAGGGGATCCAAACTTCCCAATCAGGCCTTGAGAAGATCAATTAACTTACCCCTGTGGGAGAAAATCTGGGTCACCCCCCCACACACTAATATTGTGGGTTGGACTAGATGCCCTCTCTTCCAACTCTGTTAATATTTACTGGCTGTTTCCTCACCCTGTCACCCCCCCATAATCCAGATTTCTCACTATTGTGAAATGCTGGGAAGCCCACCTGAAGTCAGGGAATAGCAGGATTTGCAGAACAGATCAGAATAACAAGAGTTGGAAGGGACCTCAGAGGTCATCTAGTCCAACCCTTTGCTCAAGCAGGAGAATCTATGCGGAGAATCCCCTATTTACAACCACAGGCCATTCCAGCATTTCTGTTGCTAAGTGAGGTGGTTGTCAAGTGAATTCTGCTCCCTTTTACGACATTTCTTGCCACCGTTGTTAAAGTGAATCACTGCGGTTGTTAAGATAGTCACGCGGTTAAGTGAATCCGGCTTCCCCATTGACTTGGCTTGTCAGAAGGTTGCAAAAGGGGATCACTGCAACTGTCATGAAGTACATGCCAGTTGCCAAGCGTCCGAAATTCTGATTGTGGGGAGGCAGCCAAGAATGCCGATGTGAAAAACTGGCATGTCACCTTTTAAAATGCTGCTGTAACTGAACCGTCACTAAATGAATGGTTTATAAGTCAAGGACTATCTGTAACTGTGGACCAGGGTAAAATATATATCCTGACCAGGATAGGTTCAAGCAGGCTGGGACTCAGGGTCATCCAACCGTGGCCACTTTAAGCCTGGAGGACTTCAACTCCCAGAATTCCCCAGCCAGAAAATTCTAGGGAATTCTGGGAGTTGAAGTCCGCCAGGCTTAAAGTGGCCAAGGTTGGAGACCCCTGGCCTGGATGATTTGGGACCCTTGGGATGGGGAAAATCCATCCTTGCTTTGGTGGACACGACAAACCATCCTAGTATTTCTCCAAACCATCATAGTATTTCTCCCACGCTTTCTTGTCATATAGTTTAGGATAGAGTTAGGATTTTTTTTTTTTAAAAAAAAACAACAACCTGTAGAGGTGAGAAAGGATACCTTGCTATGCCTTTTCGCTCCTGACATCTCTGATTTCCTTCTGTCTCTCTTTAAAAAACAAAAAAATCCTTAAATTGCATTGTCCAATGAAGTTATTATTTCCCCCCTGCCCGCCCGCCCGCCCGCCCACTCGCTTTCCTGAACGAAGCGAGCGAACCATAAAACTAACCGGCCGCCAGGAGGGAGGAGGGAGGAGGGGGCGGGAGCGGCCGAGGGAAGAGCGGGCGCTGGGAACTTCGCGGCGGAGACAATGGAAGCGCCGGAGGGAGGCGCGCGGAGCCCTGGGAACAGCCGCGCCGAGTCCGCAGGTTCGAATCCTCTCTCCGTTCGCACGCCGGAGCAGCGGGAGGTGGTGGGGGGGAAAGCCCGGAGAGGGTGGGGACGGGAGCGGGGACTCGGCCCTTTTGCAAGGCGAGGAGCAGCCCGGCGTCGCTTCGGGGCCGCGCGGGTCTCTTTCCCACCGCCTGAGCCGGGTTCCCCCCCCCCTCCCCCCCCCCCCCCCCCCCCCCTTCCCTTTTTTTTTTTTTTTTTTGCAATTGCATGGAAAGCGGAAGGAGCCGCCCGAGAGGGAGAACGCGGGGATTCCGCGGCTGGGGCGCGGGCCGGGCAGGGACCAGAGGAGGAGGAGGAGGAGGAGACGTGGGAACCGGAGCCGTCGCCCTCGCCCCCCCACCCCAGGGTAAATCCGGACCGAGCGCGCCCGCCTTTTGTTCGGGGCTCCTTGCAACGGTTGCAAGCGGGGCTGCCCGGCTTGGAGCGGGAGGAGGGGGGGGGTCGGGAAGGCGTGGTTGCAACCCTCGGGGCGGCCGTGCATTGCAAAGGAGCCGCCGGGCTTGGGGGTGGGGGTGGCGATCGGAGGGTCTCCCCGGACGGGGCGCTTTGCAAGGGGAAGAGCCGCCCCCCCCCCCGCCCGGCTCGGCAGCGGGGAAGGGAGGGAGCCGCCTGGCCCCGCGGAGGTTACCCGGGGGAGGGTCCCGGGCGTCGCTCCGAGGGGCGCTGCTCCGGGGCGAGCGGCCTGGGGAGGCTCCGCGAACCCCAACCTGACCTGCAAGGACTGGCAGCGGCCCCGGGGCCCAGCGGAGTCGCCCTGCCTGGCTCTGCCTAGCCTAGGGAGCCCTCCGGGCCTCGCCCCCCCCTTCCCTGGCCTGGCCTCTGAAGCGGGAGGAGTGGGGGGGGGTCCTTGGCCCTTTGGGGAGTGGGCTCCTCCCTTTGCCCCTTGGCATCAGGGTGTGTGTGTGTGTGTCCCGCCCGGGGCCTGGCACGGTCTTAGTCCGGGCTTTGCACGTGTGAACGGATTGCAATGCAACCTGGCTGGGTTGCAACTGTCCCGGGTTAGCACGGTGTGTGTGTGTGTGTGTGTGTCCTGCCCGGGGCCTGGCACGGCCTTAGTCCGGGCTTTGCACGTGTGAATGGATTGCAATGCAACCTGGGTGGGTTGCATCTGACCCGGGGCAGAGGCTTGGGGTGTGTGTGTGTGTGTGTGTGATGCGATGCTAGGGGAGCCCTTGAAGGCTCTTCCAGGGAACTCTGGTTCCGTCCTGCCTTCCACGCTCTCCCTGACAACAAGCCAGGATTGTTGGCTTTAACCCCCAACAGGAACAACCTGGGTTTCTCCCTCGTGCTAAGCTGGGCCTCCTCTCCGGGAGTTCAAATGCCTGGCAGGCACCCCAACTTGGTGCAATGCGTGAGCTGCTCCCCCCCCCCCCGCCTGGCAGGGTGGCCTACCTCCCAGGGTTGCTGTTTGGCATCTTTGCTTTTGAAATGGGGGAGGCAGTCGGGGGGGGGGGGACGACGCAGAGGGCTGGCATGGCAAGCAGAAACGGGGAGGTGGGGGACAGGCCAGATATCCGTGGGTCCCTTTGAGCTGGGGAACCCCCTTCCAGTCCGAACTGGTTGGGAGATGGTGGGAGGAGTCCACTTTGGGAGAGAAGAACCCCGATTCTGGGCCTGTTCTGCCCTGCTCACCAATGAAGAGAAGGGGGGGTTTTGAGAACTAGGGGGGGGGGGTGCAGACATGCCTCCTTTGGAGGGGCGATGAGTGTTAGCCTTGATCCGGGCAACCCGCTTCACCCCAAAACCTCTCAGGGACATCCTGGCTTAGTGCAACTGGGAATGCAGGGCACATTCTGGTTCCTGCAAATAAACCATGGCTTGTTGCATTCATCCCAGTGTGTGGCTCCCCCCAGCGTATATTAAACTATCGAGGTTGCAACCTGTGGGGTTCAGTATATTGGGGGGGGGAGCACAAACCTGACCCTCCTCTCCTTATCCGATCTGTTTGGGGTAGGGGGGTGGGAGTAGTTGTTTGGGGTCTCCTGGCTGTGAATGGATGGCATCTTCTTTTCTGCGTAAAGAGCCCCGCCCCCCAGCCTTTTGGCCTGGTGTGTGTTGTGTGTGCGTGTGTGTGTGTGTGCGTGTTTGGTTCTTTTCCACACTCCCCCCCCCCCTCCCTGCAAGAATGGGGGGGGGGGGGGGGGGCCTGGGGGCGGGGGAAAAACCCCCCCCCCCCCCCTTGGCTTGGAAAGAAGGGTGGATCTGGGTGTGTGAAGCTTGCAAGGGGGTGTAACCGGTTGTCTCTCTAGCAGGGTGTGTTGCAAAGGCCTTTTTGGGGTGGGGGACTTTTCCCTCCCCAGTTGGAGGGTCTGGAGAGAATGAAGGCAGCCCCTTAGTTAGAGCTATTGCCGTTGGAGGGGGGTGGGGGAGGCTGCAAATAGCTGCAAGGGAGTGGGGGGGGCAGCAAATCCCATCTGCTTAGCAAAACCTGCTGGTTTTTTGTTTCTGGAATGGACCTGGGATCCGATCTGGGCCAAGGCCAGGGGTGAGGAAACCCCCCCCCTCCTCAATTTCTGGGGTGATTGGCACTTCTGGGGTGCACCTTCCCTCCGGTTGGGGCAGATTCAGCCTTTTTGTGTGTGTGTGTGTGTGTGTGTATGTGTGTGAATTGCAACACGTTGCTCGAGTTTGCAAAAGGCGAAGAAGAAGGACCTAATTTTTATTTTTAAGTGGAAACCTCTTGGCAGAATCCATTTTGTGACTCGGCCTTGGACGGGACAGGGGCCAGCCCTTTTCCCAAGCAAGACTCCCACCCGCGGTCTGGATGAAGTCAGTTTAACTCCGGTGGGTTGAATAATAAATAATAAACCATAGTTGGCTAGCAGGCTTAGCTAAGATTTTAAAAAGCTGCATTTTGAAAGCCTTCGGCGTGCCAGGCCTGGTTTTGCTTTGTGAAATTCACACCGCTGTTCTGGTGAAAAGGACTGCAAATATGAAATTATTTCCCTTTTTTTTCTTTTCTTTTTTGTGCTAGTCTACAGTTCCCTCCTTGCCTCGGGGCCAGGCTGGGGCCGAATGGCTGGGAGGAGGAGCTGACTAGAGAATTTCTCAGGCTTTAAAATGCCTTTAACTCCGCTTTTCATTGTTGGAAAAATGTTAAAGGTTGTGTGGGGGGTGGGGGGGTGGGGGGAGAAGCTGGGAAAGCCCCCTTTGTGAGCCGAGGGGAAGCTGCTGGGATATCAGGCAGAGCCTTCCATGTCTGACTTCGGGGCCCCTTGGCAAGAAGCGGGGAGAATATCGGGGTGCAGGGTGGGGAGGGCTCGTTCCTCCATGGGGCTGGGAGCATTGGCATTGCTTAGAAATTGAGCTGGGTTTGGGGGTGCAAAGGGCCAGGAGTTGGGGAGTAGCTTTGCAGCAGGGAGAAAGGAAAGACTCGCACGATGGGCTCCCTTGTGCGGGGGGGAGGTCACCCCCATTTCCCCGCTTTCTCTCACCCTGAGCCTTCGAACTCGACACTGTCTGGAGCGAGGTAGCCAGCGGGATTTCTTTAAAAAAAACCACACACACACAATGCATCAGTTTTAAACTGAATTATTGTTACCTATTTAATTGACATTTTTAACAAAGGTGGAAGGGACCTTGTAGGTCATCTAGTCCAACCCCCACCTCCCCCAAGCAGGATGTTGCATCTTCCTACAATATAAGGCATAGATACTTCTTGATCAAAATTGGGAAGTTGTGTTGCTGAGGGCTTCCGTTGCTATGCTGGGCCTGATTTTACAGCTCTTTTTTTTTGGCCAGGATGGTTAAGTGATTCATGTGGTCATTAAGTGAATCTGGCTCCCCCCCCCTACACTGACAGAAAGGCTGCAAATGGGGAAATCCCCTAATTCCAGAGGCTGCAGCAACCCTCGTGGGTACAAAGCTGCCAAGCACCCAAATTTTGTTCTCACGCGATTGTGAGGTTTTTGCCTTGACGGTCGTAGAGTGAGGACCTGTGGCAAGTCACTTTTTTTTTCAGTGTCCTCGTAACTTTGAACAGGTTGCCAGATTGTAAAAACCGAGGACTGCCTGACTTGAGATTTTGTGAAATTTTAAAATTGGATGACTTAGAAAACCCAGACAAAAAGTTAGAAAAACTTGAGATAGGGGTTTAAAAAACCCAGCAAGGGGAACCCTGATCTGGAGGGGCACCCAGGTTGGAGGGTGCAGACGTAAATTTTGATCCTAGCAGGAAGTGTAAGAGGAGCCGGATCGGACAAGAAGGTCCTTCCCAGTTTCACCCATTAGGTGGAACAAGATTCTAGAAGGGGAAGGCATTTCTGCGTACTTTTTGTCCTGATTTTAAGGGTGTGAGTGTGTCAGAGAACACTGTACTTTCTGTTAGATTCCAAAAAAAGAAGGAAGGAAGGAAGGGGAGAAGAGAGGGAGGGAGGGAAGAAGATAGGAAGGAAGAAAAGTAAAAATAAAGACGAAGAAAGAAGGGGAGAAGGGAGGGAGAGAGGAAGGAAGATTGGAAGGAAGAAAAAAAGAAAAAAGAAAGACAAAGAAAAAAGAATGAAGGAAGGGGAAAAGAGACAGAGGGAGGAAGAAAGATAGGAAGGAAGAGAAAGAAAAAAGACAAAGAAAGGAAAGGGAGAAGAGGGAGGGAAGGAAGAAGTAGGAAGGAAGATAAAGAAAAAAGAAAGAACGAAAAAAGAAAGAAAGAAGGGGAGAAGAGAGGTAGGAAGGAAGAGAAAGAAAGGGAAAAATAAAGAAAAAAGAAAGAATGAAAGAAAAAACTGGAGGAATACAGGGAGTCCTTGATTTATAACCACTCTTGGGGTTAGAAAAGTGAGCCATCACATGACCACAACTTGCGACCTCCTCTGCCCGCATCCCCATTGTTTTTTGCATGTTGGAAGGCAGCTGCAAAGCTGGCAAGTGTTGCTTGTGTGACCGTCAGTAAATGGGAGCTGCTTGCCAGGTGCCCGGATCGCAGTTTGTGGCACTGCCACAATCGTAAGCGCAAGTCACTTTTTTTCAGTGCCATCGT